CATCCTTGGTCTATTTTCTGTGTTTTCTTTTCTACCATGTATTAAATTTCTTTGTTCTTTTTTAATCTCAGGGACATTTTCTTAATTCAATTATAATATTATTATTTTTCCACTTTTTAGTCTCCTATTTATACCTTTATAGGAGCAATATCTTTTCACTGAGAATTTTAATTAGAAAGATTATAAATTTCTTGTTTTCTGTTACATGAACTTCCTCTACTAAATCTGGTAATTTTTATTTTTTCTTTTTCATATTGCAAGATTTTTTCAAACATTTGATCTGTCCTCTGTAACCTTGCTCTTCTCTTACTATACAGGATCTTATTTCCTCTCACACTTATGCAAGTTTCCTCTAAATTCACCAAATTATACCTGATTCCTGTATAATATTCATTTTCATTACCTTGTTCTTATTCTTTTTAAATTCTTCAGAGTTTGTAATTATGTGTCATAGAAATATTTCATATGTGTATATTTTCTCCCACTAGAGTGTGAGTTTTTTGAAGACAATGTATGTATCTGCCTTCACATTATTTTAATACATTCAGAAAATAGTATGGTATATCACAACACTGGTACTCAATGACCATTTTTGCATTATTGATTAAATTAGTAAATAGAATAACAAAGTTTGGGGTTCAGGTCAGCCAAAAATAAATTGAGCATTACTCTGCTTTCCTTTGATGTTATTACTTGTTACGTACATTACATATTCCTTAGGGTTACATTTCTGAATGTGTCTTTACCTATTTATCCTTTTGGCTATCCTTGAATGCTTAAAAATATTTGCATTATGGAAAATTTCAGCTATATATGTAGTACAGAGAATAGTACTAAGTATGAGAAGTTCAGCTCTAACAAGGATCAATTCATAGACAATTTTGTAAACTCATTCACTTAATACTATATACATACGGGAGTATTTTGAAGATAATCTTAGAAATAATATGATTTAGAAATATATGTTTCATTTAATAATGTGATTTAGAAATAATGTGATTTCATTTTATTATGAATATCTAAAATATAATGAATTTTTAGAAACATAGCAATGTCATCAGTACACCTAGAATTAGGTAAATAATTTCTTAATGCCGCAATGTTTAATTTTTCTGTTGGTGTCACACAATAAGTTTTTAGTTGGTGTTTTATTTAAATATACATCCAGACAAAGCTTAGTATTTGGTTGATATTTTTCTTCAGTTTTTAAAAGATGTGGTTTTGCAGTCCTCTATTCTTTTTTATAAATTATTTGCTGAAGAAGTGTGATTTTTCAAATACAACTTTTAAATAGTATTATACTAACTGTTAATAAAGTCAGACTTTATTCACACAGTCTGAAATAATTGAAGTATATTTTCAAGGAACTTTTTTAGAAGATAAATTAAATTAATGAGGACTGACTGATACACAGTTTCACTTAGAGTAATGCCATACAGTGAGCCTGCTTTTAATTTAGCTGATACAGTGAAATTATATTTTTTTTAAAGTTAATTTTAATTCTTTTTTTATAATTTTTATGAAATCTTTATGAATGAATTCCTTTACTAAGATGCAACTACCATTAAATTCGTTTTTCTAAGTGAGAAAGAAATATATGTAGGTTAGCATTGGGTTATTATTTCTAGGACACTGGTCATGATATGTGCTGTGGCTAACTGGGAACCTCCACAGTAACAAAGAATTGAAACACCACAAACACACAACAGCAAGCAAGCCAAAGGAAGTTCATTTAAAGGAACAGGCCAGCTCCAGGGAGCAAAGCCACAAGGGTTAAAGAAACAAGCTGTCTCCTGCCAGTAGGGAGCAGGCCTGAGGAGATTTATGCAAGGACAGATGAGAAGCAAAATAGCTCCCAAGAAGGAGGCTTCCCAAAAGGGATTGCTGTTGGTGAAAATAACATCAAGGTTTTTATAGTTATGCTCATGTTTTGGATCTAAGGTATGAGCTGCAGTGGTTGTGAAGCTTCTTGATTGGTCAGCCTTGCCTGATGTCCTAACATAGATTGAATGGTGATTTTCAATATAGTGTTATGATTTTCTTCCCTGCTGTTGACTCTCCCTTCCACCTCTGTTATATCTCCTGGGGTCCCAGTCTGTCAAGGTGTAGCCCCTCAATAATGCCATTAATATAATCATCCTATTTCATTAACACACATGTGTCACATCTAAATTGCTGTGCTCTTCATGAATTATTGAAATTTACATAAAATTTATTCAAAGTCCTATTGCCAAAGTCTTTATTCTGAAATTTAATTTTTTTACAATTGGGATCATATCTGTTCACAATTTCACTTATTTTATTTTTTTTAAATACACTTTATGTTAGAGCTATTTCAAGTTCATAGCAAAACTGAGCAGAAGATACGGGGATTTCACATATATTCTTACCGCCATCATGTATAGCCTTCCTGCTGTCAATGCCTCCTATCAGTGTAGCACATTTATTACAACCAATGAACCTACATTGAAATGTCATCACCACTCAAGGTTCAGAGTTTACATTAGGGTTCTCTTTTAAAGTATCTACCATTATAGTGTCATACAGAGTTGAATCATCCTAAAAATCCTCTGTATTTTGTTACCTACATTTTCATGATCACCTAGTCTGAATTTTTAATTATTTTCTTACTTCTACCTCACAGGTAGCTTTTTCTCCTTAAATATTCTCTACCTCCTCCCCAAAGTAAACATGAACAAAGATCTGTTGCATATAGCACATCTTGTCTAAAAATTATGTGCCATAAGAGGGCTCATATTTTTATTGAAGAGTAAAAACTCAAAATTAAATATTACGGCTTCTTTCTCTAAGAGTTCTCTTAGTAGCCCTTACACTGATGATATGTTGCTGACTACTAGACCCTATCTATTTTCTTAGCTTAGCCCAATTTCAGATTCTCTGATCTGGAAAATTGATATACGAGAAGAAATTCATGCATTGTTCTATGTTTGAGTCATTAAAGGGCTCAGAAAAATTGAAGTGTTTTTCATATACTATCAATCCATTCTTTTTCATAAATTAATTACATATATAACTAACTATTTTCTTATATATTTTTATATAGTTTAAGTCACTGCCTATATAATAAGGTTATTTAAATTCTGCAAGGAAATTTGCTCTGCAAAGAATGTATCATTACCTTCACATTATGAGTGAGAAAATATGACTCAAAATGTTTCAAAGGGCAAGATAACTGCATGTCAAGTCACATAAACTCTTAAGACTGAGGTTTTATTTTATTTTATTTTTAAGATTTATTTATTTATTTATACAAGCACTGGGTAAAGTCAGAAGCGTGGGAGGGTGAGAGAATTCACCAGAGCCAGAGCAGGGAGCAGAGCAGGCAGAAGGATCGAAGCACACTGCTGAGGGGAGCAGCTGGCGGCAGGAGAGGTCTGTGTGTCATGTGGGACCCTCCTCCCGTGGCTGGGGAGCAGCCAGGGATCGAACCGGTGCCGCAGAGGCTACGGGCAGCTTCGCAACCCAGCACTCAACCGCTGCACCACCGGGGAGGCCCAAGATTGAGGTTTTAGACACACTCAGGAAAGCCAGTGAATCCCAGCTGTTGATGCATTTCCTCTGCAGTGGTTTCTACTAGGAGGCAGTGAATTTATAGGAGGATGCAGCACTCATAGTCATTATTGAATTATTTTAACTGGTTGTTCCTCCTGAGAGTCTCTATAATAGGGTCAACCTTCCTTAGCAAGAAGTGAGAGGTATAAATACTGGGATATTTTGCTGTTGCCCAAGCTGGGATGCATGGGGACATAGGGATCCTGATTTAGTCTATTCTGCCTAGGGACACCCCGCAGCCATATTCACTGTACTATCTCTGACATGCCCTGGTGGCACAGGAAAGTCTGGGTGGTTAACCTAGGAGGAGTTCATCTTGAAGGTCAGGCAAACTATATTTATGTTTTAGGGACCTTAAATATATCTGTGTTTTCTGCTCTATTCCTTTTCCCACTATTATTAACTGTATGTGAGAACTAAGTATTTGCGCCTTCATAGATATCTATGTATTTGTCTCATTTTGAAGTTCTCCTAAGTGACTTCATTTCTTTTCCTGCCTAAAATTTTTATCTTAAGTGTGAGGAGAGGGAAACTTCTATTATGCTCATTTGTTCTTAACAAATCTAAAGTTTGTGGAAGAAATTCAGACTTTGGTACTTTTGAGATTCAAAATTCTAACATTTCTGTCATAACTTTAAAAACCTGTAATAAAATGAGAAAATATTTATTTCATGGTTTTTGATTTTTCTACTATAATAAATGTACATGATGGGAAAATGTATATTTTATCTTCATTGATGTCTGAATTAGGTGAGTGGGTGTGGTGGTCAACAGTGTGAACCCAAGAAGGATTGAAATATAAACCTCAGCTACATATTAAAATATCAGTTGCCATTTGGTTGTTTCTGTGCTGCTGGGCATAAAATATGATTTAGAAAATGAAATTAAATGATCCTGAAGCATAAGGATCATTTAATCAGTCAGTCCTGAGATGAAAGGTAAGAAAACATTCAAGTAAAGACCACACAAAGAGGGATTTATTGCTTCCATGGAGATATTGGATCTGGATCACTTAGGATTAGGTACTGGGTTGAATATCCCAGGGATCCCATAGTAGATAACAACTGAGAATAGAAAAAATAAAACCCAGGTAGTGAGGGAGAACTCTGAGGGGTATGTGGGCTATCAAAGGATAGTATCTTTTTTTTTTTTTTTTTTAAGATTTATTTATTTATTTATACAAGCACTGGGTACAGTCAGAAGCGCGGGAAGGTGAGAAAATTCACCAGAGTCAGAGCGGGGAGCAGAGCAGGCAGAAGGACCAAAGCACACTGCTGAGGGGAGCAGCGGAGGCAGGAGAGGTCTGCGCGCCATGTGGGACCCTCCTCCGGTGGCCGGGGAGCAGCCGGTGATCGAAGCGGCGCCTGAGGCTGCGGGGAGCTTCGCAACCCAGTGCTCAACTGCTGTGCCACCGGGAGGCCCAAGGGATAGTATCTTAAGCCCCATAGAAGAGGTGAGAGGAGTGTTGGAGGAGAAAGGAAATATGATGAACTATGCAGAAAATAGTTCATGGTCATCTAACATGCTCATTCTCCTCTCTTGTTAGATGGGCAGTGCACCTGCAATAAGACAGACATGAGATCAACAAATTCAGATGGGTTCCTGTGCCATAATTATGCCATCATCATCATGCCCTTTCCCAGTTCTCCAACTTTTCAAACACATTTGAGTCCACAACCTCCTCCTACTTTCTTCCTCTTACTGTGACTCTGGCTTTCAGTCTTACCTTCTAGGGTGTGACTCACAAGGGTCCTTGGTGTCTGGAGGCTCCACCTGAGCGCAGGCCTTGGATGATGAGGATGGTTCCCACCATGATGCCCACGAGACCCATGGTCAACCCAAGGGCACAGACCACAGTCTCTGTCAGCTCTGACACAGGGGATGGAATTTCAGGTTCTGTGAAATGAAATTGTGGGTCAGAATATAGAGTGTTGATTCATGTACATGCTTGTGGTTGTGGGATGGAGTGGTTGTGTTGGTTCTACAAAGACTGAGGGAACCAGTCTTTGGTTCTGTCTAAGGAAAATGGTGAAGTCAATCATTAATATCCTTTAAGTGTGTAAAAAGCTTTGGGACACTAGATTTATGGGCTAAGAGGCAGAATGTTCTGAACTTGACAGAGAAGAGAAGGTACCAAAGGGGGAAAAACTCATACCCCAGTGTTTCAGGAGTGGCTTCTCCAGGCCCCAGTGCTCCACCTTGCAGTCAATAACATCATCATCAGAAGGGATGAAGGTGAGGTAACTTGTCTTGGAGAAGGAATGATCACTCTTGGGGAGGAAGCTGGTCTCGGACACACCCTCTGTGACTGAACACCCATTGACCAACCATGAGATGTTGATCTCAGGTGGGAAGATGTTGTCCACAAAACAGATGAGGATGTTGGGCTGAGCCAGCATCACAGGAGACTTGGGGAACACAGTCACCTCAGGAACCTCTGTGGTGAGGAAACAGACTGGTATGAATTGCAAATAGCTCTGCCTGAGGTTCTGCACTGCAAACTGGAGAACTCCTCCCACTACTGTTTCCCCATGTGAGAATGGAAGAGCGGTTTCCCTTCGCTTGGGAAATGCTATATTACATGGCCTGTGCTTTACCCTGTGCCCTTCCCTCTGGGTGTGCATTTGTTAGGATAAGAGGTCTTGGGATTCCTTTTTAAAAGATCAAGGATTGTGTTATAGTAGTAATAATCCTTTTAATACATGGAAATACGTGGTTTGTGAGATGGGAGAGAATGAGCGTTTAGTAATTACTATGTGAATATCTTGGGACTCTGTGAAAAGGAGAGAATTTTATACAGCAGTGAATGATTATCTATCTCTAGGGAAGTAGGGAGTAAGGCCTTGTATGAAAGGGTATAGTCATCAGAGACAGGCAGAAAGGAGACACATACCATTGGTAGCGTCAGTAGAGTTGTAACGTTTAGTCAGGATGTCCAAGCTGCGTTTTACTATAGCCATGTTTGTCAGTGCACCCTGTGGGTCAAAACTTGCAAATTTGCTAAACTCTGGCCACCGCCACACAGTCTCTTTCTTCTTCAGGTCCACGTAGAACATCTCATCTTGATCAAATTCTTGGGTGTACTGGCCAAAGGGACCATAAGACTGGTAGACATTTGTGCCGTAGATGCCCACGTGATCAGCTGACAAGTGAGGTTGAGGAATAGGAAGGTGAAAAACACAGAGAAAAGAATTTTATTAATTATTAAAGTGACATGAGACACTGACTTTTCAATATCGTGGGTTCCATCTTTGTCTAAATCTCTAGACAAAATTCCCAGCACCTGTTTCTTTAGTGTTGATATTGTCCAGTTAGAATCTTGCCTGTCTTTCCACTAGAAGTATTCCTCATGAGGGCAGAACCCCACAGGCCTTGCTCACTGCTATTCCCTGTGTGCCTGCTTCAGTTCCTACTACACAGTATGTGTATGATGAGGATTGTAATGGTATGAAAGAAGGAATGAATAAATTATCATGGTTTTAGCTTTTCCCCCCAGAGATTATGTTTACTTCTAATTCATAAGTTTTCTCTTTCATTTTACTGTTTAATCAATTAAAATGCTGATGGGCCCATTCCCCTCAGGACTGGTTCAGATCTCATTTTCTACACAAGAATTCCTTCTTTTTTTTTTTAACCAAGGAAAAGTAAACAGGATATTATAATTTTTAAAGCATTTCCTTTATTTATAGAGTATAAGAAAGAATGTGACAAGGACAGCAATACTAGTATAAAGTATACAAAATGTAAACAGTGCTCTTCTCAGGTCTGTTTTGTTAACAGTATGATCCTTAAAGAGGAGCACATGATTCCTTATGAAATAAAAAAAAAACTGAGAGCTTTATTAGATTATGGATTTCTGTTGTTCATCATTCCTTTTTTCCTTATAGGAGGTTACTAAATCTCCCTTTTTTCCCTCCTAATGCAACACTTAAATCCATTGAGAACTATGGCCTTTTCCCTGGAATGGACAAGGTACTGCCCTGAGGATGCTAAAGCAGAAATATAACCACACAGTATGACTGCCCGAATGAGCCTGACTGGACGATTTTATCAAGACACATGAGTTTTTTTTTCCATTTCCTTCCTTCATTTCTCATTTATGGGGAATCAACAAAGTGTCAGACTTTGTGGGAGGCAAGGAGTGAAGCACAAATCAGCATGGTCTCTGCTGGCCAGTAGCTGACTGAATATAGGGAGAAGCAGGTGAATGAAGGAGCAAACACAGTGTACTCTGGTGAGTTCTGTGATGGGGACATCCACAGCCTTACACTCCAGCTTCCTCCACAAACATCTCTTCTGCCAACCAACTTAAAAGCCATGTTATTCTGTCATGTTCCTTGGTTTTTGTAGGGTCTATTTTTTTCCCAGCAGTAAAATTTTCTTTTGGGATTCCCCTTCAATTCATCCTTGAAGTATGTTTATTTAAGCAAAAGTTCTCTCTAAATCTGCTTTTTACCACATCTTGACCTCCCACCCGTCCATCTAGTGTCCTGCTCTCCAAGTTTGTCTATTCCTCACATGGCTCACTCTCTTCCCTGCCCAGCATGATGCCTTTGGTTAAAAGACCCCCAACTAAGCCTCCTTGTCCTTGCAATGAGTTTTCTTGACTCCTTTTTCAAACATAAATATGTTCAGTTGTTCTCTTCATCTGCTACTTGCCCTGGGCTGCTGACAGTTAAGAACATATTGAAAGAAGGAATACATAAATTATCATTGATTGATACAGGGCCTGTGGTGCTTATAGGACTCCATGAAGTCCTATAAGCAGTGCTGGGCCCACTGACCCAATTCACTTTTATAGTTTTAGTTTCAGCAGAGTCACTGTCCTGTTTCCACAATGCTTCTTCTGCTTTCCTGTAACATATTCTTTTTTTTCCCCAAAGATTTATTTTTATTTATTTATGCTTACAAAAACTGGTGTACAGGCCAGAGGTGTGTGGGGTGAGAGGATTCACCAGAGACAGAGTGGGGAGCAGAACAGGCATCGATCTACTGAATACACTGCTGAGGGGAGCAGCGGGCAAGGCAGGAAAGGTCTTCTGTGCCATTTGGGTTGCTCCCTGGCCAGGCAGGAATTAAACTCATGCAGCAGTGGCTGGCAATAGCTTGATAACACTGAGACTTTAACCCCTGTGTCACCAGTGAGGCCTCTGCTTTTCTGCAACATATTCTATCTATCACTAGTCTGAGCCCTTCTCTTGGGTGGTGGGGGCAGGAGCAGATAGCATGTCTTGCCATTTTTGAATCCCTAATACTAAGTTCACTGTATGCTCAAAATGTATACTGAATGTCAACTTCTGGTCTTGAGAATCACAGAAGTTCTGGGGAAGAATGATGGTCACAGAGGGAGCAGAAACATATGAGTAGCAGGACCAGCAGTGACTACAGTCTCATTATGACTTGCGAGCCCCAAGCACTCTAGCCTTTGTGGTCCCCTTTCTCCATGAAAATAGTAAAAATCATATTTTATAACCATATTGGTATAAAGACAAATATAATCCAGGCTGGATTAAAAGGTAAGACATCTTATTCTACCCTCAAATTTCATATTTTCTTCTAATTTTAAAATTAAAAATATTAAAACGTCTTCATGGAATCCTATAAGCACCACAGGCCCTGTATCAATGTACTAACTGTGCCCAATGTGATGTTGAAAGAACAAAATTGGTAAGTGTTCTTGAGAAGCAGGTGAAAATCCCAGCACCAAAGTTAGAATGGGAACAGACAAGGTTAATATATGCTGAAGAAGAGACCATTCTATTCCACTTCCCCTTTGAACAGTTTAGTTTTTTACTTTGGATTTTATAAATGCATTCTCTATGTCTATAACGCAACTGGGAAAAGAGCCAGGGATGGATCCTAGAAGGAAATTAGGATAAAGAAATGTGTGAAGACACTTGAGGAGAGAAAAGATTATTTATTTATTTATTTATACAAGCACTGGGTACAGTCAGAAGTGCAGAGGGTGAGAGAATTCACCAGAGCCAGAGCGGGGAGCAGAATAGTCAGACTGATGAAACACACTGCTGAGGGGAGCAGTGGGTGAGGCAGGAGAGGTCTGCTTCGCCATGTGGGACCCTCGCGGGGGGCCGGGGACCTAACTGGCGCTGCAGAGTCTGCAGGCAGCTGGGCAGCTTTGCAGCCCAGTGCTCAATCGCTGCACCACCAGGGGAGGCGCAGAAATTCTATATTCTAAAGATGTAAAATTTAAAAAATGATGATGATAAAAAGATATGTGTGAGGAGAGGATGGAAAGTGGTGGACAATGAAGGCAGAAGAGACCAAATAATTAAACTGTGCCTGCCCATTCTTCCTCTTATAAGACCTTTAGATAAGATGAAGGGCAGCCTATTTGGACTGACAATGCAGTATAACTTAATTACCAAATTTTTCCACGCAAAGTTCTCAGTTTAATTAAAAATAAAAATATTTCTTATTCATTAAAGAAAAAATTAAGCTATACCTGTGGCACAAATTAAAAATAAGATCATTGACATATATATATATATATATATATATATATATGAGAAAGCAGATCTACACACCTATTTTATTTAATTATTTATAAGGTAACATATAAGTAACTGAAATTAAATGAAGACCATGTGGTAAAACGACTTGCCTAAAGGTCACCCCCTCCCCTCCCCTGCCATTCCTGTAGTGGAGAAGTATGTAAATCTGAGATGAAGAAAAAGCCACCCTTCTTTATATCTAAATGGTATACATAATTCATGAAACTATGTACTCTAAGATCAACTACAGGAGAAATAGACAGAAAATTTCAAAAATTGGCAAAAAAAAAATTGAGAACAATAGTCCATGAATTTTTGGTGACAAAATACCCACCCTAAAAAAGCATCCCTACCCTTCGAGGCAGTCATGAGTGACTGTCAGAAAGCCCAGGCTATGTTCACTGGATCCAGTGTCAGGTACAGCACATGTCCTTGGTGAACCCTGCAATGGCACAGGTAGCATAAGGAGTGGGTTGGAATGCTGGTTACCTGAAGAAAAGATGACCATACTTTTTAGACCTGTTTAGTACTGAGAATGCCTTTGAAGAGCCTCTACTATTTCTAAACAAATCTCTTTCCTTTTCCCTCCAAGTCCCTATTACCAATCCCAGTACCCACACCCTTCAAACCTACACTCACCCACAATGTCTTCACCTCCACAGGGGCTCATTACGATGGTGAGAGTGAGGGCCCCCAGAATCAGAGCTCTGTATAGGACCATCATCCTCTCAAAGTGGTCTCAGCAGCTGCTGTTTTTGAGTTGTTGAATAATTGTGAGAATCAAGCTGAAGAGGAAATGTTCAAACCAAACTCTGCCCCAGCAGGTTCTGGCCAATCAGAAAAATCTCCTCTGATGACACTTCTGTTGCCAGTTGAAGCCTTTGGTATAAGGGACCTGGAAGAGCTTGGGGAATCCCCAGCTTCTGCGGACGGCCGCTTCACCTCAGAGCGAACCTGAGGGGATTTTTACGAAAAGAGGGAGGATATTAACTCAGAATCTTGTCATATGTGTGTATGCCTGCTGGTGATGAGAGAGATGTGAATTTCCAAGCAGTCTCATGGGTAGTGAGGTCATCACTATATGTCTTTCAGGATTTTCTGGGTTACAGTCTCTAAGAATTGTACCTGAGTTTATCACCCTCCCTGACAGTCTCCACACACTTCCTTTCCCCTGGTCTCCATATGTGAACTGTTTTTCTTTTCACTTCTATAGAGAAAATGAGATTCTCGAAATTTGAGTTGACCCACTCACACAGGAGATGTCTGTGGGTGGTAACTGTAAGGTCAAGGCCTGGGCAGAGATGGGGTAGAAAAAGGAAACTGCTGCCACCTGCTTCCCAGGAGCGGCTCTGCCTGGTTTGCATGGGCCCTGATAAGCAGCGTTGAAAGAACAACCAGTTCTGAGAGAAAAAACTTCTTTGAAAAGCAACTTCACTCCACCTCCTTCCAAGGCCAGACCCCACCTTATAAAAACTAGACTTTATCCCCCAATGGGCATGACTTCTCCGACCCTGGGGCATCATGAACCTCGATCCTGGAGCCCAATAAATTTCCTGCCTGTCAGAAACTTGGCTCTCCCTTTCTTTACACGCTCATCCTTTAAGTAACCAAAGAATAATTTTTCCTTTTCTATTTAGAAAAACGCAGTTGAGTAAGTTTTCATGCTTTCAAAAGCCCTAGTTTTTCACCAGGAAAAGAGAAAGATTTATAATATGTGATGTGATCTACAGTACTGCTCTTTCATCTGATTTTCTACCCTCTTTTCTGAGTATTCTTTGTGTTCTGTTTTGGTGCTGTCTATCAACTTTTAAAGGAAATTTGGAGACATTATTATATTAAGGAAAATTCTGGCTCGCTGACTTTAATACTCTGATTTCCTTTCTAAATTTGAGAATGTCAAGTCAAATTAGAGGGTGGGATGAGGGTAATTACTGTGCCTTAGAAATTGATTTTCTGCTACATATGCTTTTAAAGAAAATAATTTATTAAATGATGATAGGAAGTGTCTGTATTTTTCTGTTATTCATTTTTAATGCTATTTTTTTATATATATATATATTTTTTTTTATAGAGGCATGTTTTTATTTATTCATTTATTTGTTTGTTTGTCTACACATGCACTGGGTACAGTCAGAAGCGCGGGAGGGTGAGAGAATTCACCAGAGCCAGAGCGGCGAGCAGAGCAGGCAGAAGGATCGAAGTACACTGCTGAGGGGAGCAGCGGGCGGCAGGAGAGGTCTGCGCGCCATGTGGGACCCTCCTCTGGTGGCCGGGGAGCAGCCGGGGATCGAACCGGCGTCGCGGAGGCTGTGGGCAGCTTCGCAACCCAGCGCTCAACTGCTGCGCCACCGGGGAGGCCCTAATGCTATTTTTTAAAAAGATTTATTTATGCATAAACTGTGGCACAGGCCAGAGGTGTGGGAGGTGAGAGAATCACCAGAGACAGAGTGGGGAACAGAACAGGCAGACTGACTGAAATACACTGCTGAGGGAGCAGCAGGCGAGTCAGGAGAGGTCTGTCTCGCCATGTGGGTTGCTCCCTGGCTGACTGGGGATCTAACTTGTACCGCAGGCTACATACAGCTTCACAGTGCTGTGCTTAACCACTTGCAGCACCAGGGAGGACCCCTGTTTGTTATTCTTTATTTTCAATATTTTATTTTATATAATTCTTACATCATTTTTCAACTTTGCACAATGTATGCATTTTCATTATGGTTTTATTCCCCATACAATTGTACCCCCCCTATTTTGACTCTAGTCCTTCCTCTCCTGCCCCTCCCTGTTTGTTCTTTTTTTTTCCTAAATTTTAATTTCTTTTTTTAAATTTAATTTTTATATTCCCCATACAATTGCAACCCCCTTATTTTGACCCAATCCCTCCTTTCCCCGCCCCTCACCCCCAAAGTGTGTCTCTGGTTCATAGTTGTTTGTTGATTTTGATTTTTCTATCTTGTAGTTATTCTTTTTCCTGGTCCCTTATTTAAGTTTTCTAGATTCCTGCTATGAGTGAGACCATACAGTATTTTTCTTTTTCTTTCTGGCTTATTTCGCTGAGCATGATCCCTTCCAGCTCCATCCATGTTGCTGCAAATTGAATGTGTTTATCTTTTTTGATTGCTGAGTAAAATTCCATGGTATATATGTACCACACCTTCTTGATCCAATCATCTATTTTTGGGTCTTTGTATATTTTTTGTATGGTTGACCTGTCCATTGGTGAGAGTGGGGTGTTGAAGTCTCCCACTATATATGTATTTTCTTTAATATCTGTTTCAGAGCTGATAATAGTTGTCTAATATATTTTGGTGCCCCTTCATTGGGTGAGTATATGTTGATGAGTATTATATCTTCCTGATGTTTTGTTCCCTTGATCATAATGTAGTGTCCATCTATGTCTCTTTTCACTTTTTCTAATTTGAAGTCTATTTCATTTGATGTAAGTATGGCTGTTCCTGCCTTCTTTTTGGTCCATTTGCTTGTAGGATTCCTTTCCAACCTTTTCTGTTCAGTCTGTGTTTATCTTTTGTGGTTAAATGTGTTTCCAGGAGACAGCAGAAGGTTGGATTTTGTTTTTTAATCCAGCCTGCTACTCTGTGTCTTTTTACTGATGTGTTTAATCCATTTACATTTAGAGTTAATATTGATATGTTGGCATCTGTGTTTGCCATTTTGTTTGTCTTTTTTGTGATTTTATTCCTTGCTTTATTCTGTTCTTCTTGTTCATTCCTCTGTTGGTTTTGGCTTTAGGACTTCTTGTAGAATTTTTTGGAGTGGGGGTTTAGTTATAATGAATTTGGAGTTTCTGTTTGTCTTTGGAGAAGTCAGAAGTTAACCTGATTGGTTTTCCCCTTATAAGTTATCTGTTTCTTCCCCCTTGCCAGTTTCATTTTTTTTCCCTTGTCTTGGACTCTTGCAAGCTTTTCTATTAGGTGTCTTGCCATAGTTTTCTTTTCATTATGGTATTTGGGAGTTCTTCTCACTTCTTTTTTTTTTTTTTTTTTTTAAGATTTAGTATTTTATTTATACAAGCACTGGGTACAGTCAGAAGCACGGGAGGGTGAGAGAACTCACCAGAGCCAGGTCAGGGAGCAGAGCAGGCAGAAGGACCAAAGTACACTGCTGAGGGGAGCAGCAGGCGGCAGGAGAGGTCTGCGTGCCTTGTGGGACCCTCCTCTGGTGGCCAGGGAGCAGCCGGGGATCAAACGGTAGCTGCAGAGGATGTGGGCAGCTTCCCAACCCAGTGCTCAACTGCTGTGCCACCTGGGAGGTCCTCTTGTCACTTCTTGTATATCTATATTCATCTCCTTTATCATGCTTGGGAAGTTTTCTTCAATTATCTCCTTGAATAATTACTCAGTTCCTTTGTCTCTCTCCTCACCTTCTGGAATGCCTATAACTCTTACATTTCCTCTCTTCATGGAGTCTGATAATTGTCTAAGAGTCTCCTCATACTGCTTCATTTGCACTTCTCTCCTTTTGTCTTTTGGCTCTTTTTATTTCTGTATCTTCTATAGTACTGATCCATTCTTCCATTTCATCGATTCTGTTTTCATTGCTTTCCCCAGAGTTCTTTATCTCTTCTAGTAATCATTTTATCTCCTGCATTTCTTTTCTTTCCTTTCTTAAGGTCTCAATTTCATTCTTCAATTCAGTGATTATTTGTCTCAAATCATTTTTTTTCTTTTCGTTTTCTTTCTGCTTTTTAATCAGGATGGTTATTAATTCTCTCTGATAGGCCGAGAACTTCTTCCCTGTCATTGTTGAGCTCTGGTGACGATATTTCTTTTTGTGGTGTGTCCTCCTGCAGGCTTGCTTGGTTATTTATATTTTTTCTTCTCCCTATTGTTTTCTTTCTAATTAGTTTTATGCGTTGGGACGTTGTGCCACTGGTGTTTGCGGTCATCTCTTTGGAGTGCTGCTTTAAGCATGTCGGAAAACTGTTTACCAGACTGAGACCAGCACTGTTAGGCCAAAACTCCACCAGGGTGTTGATACATTGTTGCTGGACTCTGTTCCTTACAGTTCCCTCCCTCTGTATTTACTCAGTTCCAATGGGTAATCAGCTAGTTGGTGATTTAGTTCTGGTCACAAGGTGGCGCCAGAGACCGGTACTTGCTGAACTGTGCTTTTCCCCAGTGGTTCTCTGAGTAGTGGTGCGGGGGGGGGGGGGGGGGGTGGGGGTGGAGGGGAGCACCTCAACACAGGGGCTCTTATTCAAGCTGGGTGCTGTGTCTGCCCCATGTTCACCCGGTGCTGTGCCCGCAGCTGTATGGATCCCACACCCTGAATTCTACACTCTAGGTCTCAGTTCCAGGCCTATCAGAACCAAAATGCTGGCTGTCACCCTGTGCAGTGCCTGCTGCTATGGTGTGTCCCACGCCCCAGATCCTGTTCCTGGCTCTCAGTTCCAGGATGGGGTCTTGCTCCACGCCTTATTTCCCACCTTACCCCTGTTTGTGTGGCCCACCCTCTCTCAGAGCCAGAGGGTGTTTTTGGGATCCCTGGTTTCCAACTATAGGGTGCTGGTGATTTTTTCCTGGACGCTAGGTGGCGCCAGAGATCTTTCCTAGTGTCCTTCCAGAACATTTTTTTCCCGTGGGTCCAGGGGAATAGAATGGGAGTGGCGTGGAGTGCCTCAAAGACATGGGGGTTTAAGGCCGTAAAGTCAGTGAAGGAAGAGAGAGCAGACGGGAGGGGAAGAAAAGTAAAGTTAAATAGGTAGCGCTCCCTGCCGGAGACTCACTAAGCCACTGGAGGACCCAAGGAGA